AAGTGACTGGTGGAATGAATGCTTGACCTGGAGCGCCATGCTGTAACTTTGACTGACGATAGCTTTTCTAGTGCGGGTGCGTTAAAGGAACAATGGATAGGGGTTTTTATGTAGCATTTAAAACATTTTTCTGTGGAAAACTGACATCTCTGTCTACTCTTTTCAACCTCTTAAAGAAACAATGGATAGTAGGGGTCTTATGTAGCATTAAAACATGTTTCTGTAGAAAACTGACATCTCTGTCTACTTTTTTCAACCTCAGGGCCAAATTACGATTGTTGAAATTTGTAGGGTCCTTGGGCCCTGCCCACGTGAGCTTGTGAAGTGAATGTGATGGGGGCCATGAATCATTGCCGGAAATCGTGGAGGTGCGTTATGAGATGTTGTGATCCATCGAAATTCGATCAGTTTGCTTCCGTGCGAGAGCTTGTTCTGGCCTGGGCTGGCTGTGCCTGAAGAAAAGAAAAGACACTGAGTCATTAGGCTCGATTTGGAGAAAGTCGCGCTCAGACGCAGGGTTTTCAACTTGCAACCAAGTTTTGATGGAACGCGTGCTTTTGCAGAGTGGGTTCTTGTTGTGTGGCTCAGCAGAAGGATTTTTGGACTGACTGACTGACTTTCAGACTAGTTACTAGTTGGTCCTCCGGTGTACCATGGCATTCGCGGCGGTCACGGAGTTGCGCAGAGCTAAGTTTAAGGCTTTGAAGTGTGATAGGAGTCATGGCGGGTCCAACTTGGGGACATGTGCAGCTGGGTAAACTGACGAGGTCGGGGTCCGAAGCAGAAGCAGGAATGACTTGTGTGGTTGGATTGAAGGACAGACTTGGCTTTTAGCGCGCGTTTGTGTTGAATGTCAAACATATTTCTCGCAGGACCCTCCTTTGAAAAAACCTGCAAGGGTCCCAAGGATTTTGAAGAAGTCTCGGTATCAGCCCACAAAGATCTTGCAGGCTCCAATGCTTTGCTGGGTGTTGCTTTGAATTTGTTGTGTTGGGCTGTTTTTGACCTTGCTCGCAGTTACCTCCCCATGGCACCATCAACAAGAAGTGCATTGGCGCGGTGGGTGGCTTGCAATTTACCAAGACCAAGCCTTTGCATCTCAAGTGTGTACTTGGCCCAGCTCCGGGAACTAATCTGTTGAACTTTCATTGCTGCCTTGGAGTTGGAAGCTTGAGGTTTCGAAGGCCAAGGCGGGCCGGAAAGAGAACGGCGCCCAGATCTTCACTGGCACCAGAGTCTTCCGAAAGTGGGGGACGATCAGTAAGGGCCCTAGGCAGTTTGCAACTTGTAATATGTGATTCATTCAACATGCTGCGCAGGAGTCTTCTCAGCTTCAACCTCGGTGACCCGATCTGCCGTCAGCCGACGTGGAATCAGCGCTAGGGGCCCAGTTCCAGATCCATTTACAAGCTTTGGGTTGACGGTGGATGGTTGTTGCGAGGATTTAGCCAATCAAGTGGCTCATTCCGAAGAGTACCAGTCTTTGCTACAAAGTCACAAATTGGTTTGTGGCCGCTACCTTTCGCCAAATGCAGCTGAATGGTTTTCAGGCCCACACACACAGAGTATTTCATCAGTCTAGCTATCAAACCGTCCTTTTGGAGAAGGCTTGTCCACTGTTTTCGCTGGCAGGATTTCCGTTGGACTGGTCACTCCCCCAGAAGGGAGCGGTGAGCGCTTCGGTTGTGGACAGTATGTTTCCAGTTGACCCTAAGGCCCACTTTGCTTTTGCTTCCGAAACCATGTTTCACTGCATAGTTTTTGGACTTCAACTTCGCTGACCTAGACCTACTACTCCCATCGCCTTGACTTGGTGACTTTGCACCCTGGCCAGGCAAAACGGGTGCCTGCGATCTCACTCTTTACTGGAGTGGGAGGACTAGAACTTGGACTTCGGAGGCGTGCCTGAAGTGTGCTACTGAATGATGAATCAACATATATCTCTTAAAGCCTTATATGGTTGTGTGTTTGTAGTTGGGGCCGCTGCCTTCTTCTCGAAGCTGACACTCTTAGAACTGCGTACTGTACACTTGCTTTTAAGACTATAAAAGATCCAAGAGCCAAACTCGGGGAGAACTCCCATGAGTGAATTTCATGTTTCGGGCGTTATCTCCTGAACCGCCGCACTAGTTGGTGTTAAGACCTTCATTCGTGCAGCAATGAGTGATGAGAATCGATGGCCTGGAGTTGAACTTGACCGAACGTCGTGCCAAACTATACGGACCGTTGGCATCAACCAAATCAGGCACGGGGTTGGTGGTTTGAAAAGGAATGCTTTGCAGCGGGGCAGCTTGCATAGTTGAATTTGTGTTTCACGGCTTTTTCATTGAGTCTGAGTCATGCCCACCGACAGGATCCAAGCCGATGGGGTGATCACCTGCCGGTGGAGGGGCCAATCGTCCCGTGCTTACTGGCCAACTTGCCCTGCCAATTTGTGAGTTGGCCAAAGTACTTAAAGAAGGGGTTCTGATGCTGGCTAGGTGGGTGTGGAATTGCAGCCGCAGGGAATGGGACCTTCGCCAAACACCTTCGAGTTCCAAGGCCCACACAACCTGCTTCAGTGCCACATTTGTCCTTATAGTAGGGGTTTGATTCAGCGCCATACTTTTTCTGATAGTATCGGGGTTCTGGTTACTGGTTGGGAGGCGCAAGGTTCTGATGCCCATCTATCACAAGCCAAAGATCCAAGTGCTTCCGCAAAAGCTGCTGCGCCAATCAAAAAGAGAAAGACTTGAATGAATCGCGTGCAAAAACAGTCGGTCCCATTCAACAGAGTGCCACAGCCAATTTCAATTGTGACTTTGTCATTGTGCGAACGGAGACTGGTTTGAAACTGAACAAGTAGAATGTCAGGTTCTTCAAAGTTGAAGAAATGGTTACTGCCATAGCATCTTTTTTTGTTTCATCGAGTCTCAGTTCCGACGCAGCAACCAAGCTTGAGAACAAACGTGGAAACGGTTGAGGTGGAGTGTGATGCAGCCTGTCAGCAAGTGCTAAAAGCGCGCCAAGCTGACCAGTGCTTGCCAATGTGCAAGATCCACCCTGACGTGGTGGGCTATCGCCCATCTGGAGCAGCAAGTCAAGCCGAAGCCGTCGTGGGTGGATTCCCATGTCAAGTTCATTTCTCAGATTTTCATCTTTCACAAGGGAGCTTGTAGAATAGAGTTTTTTTGCGACCCGAGGGAACCAGCCAGGCCGGCCACCAGGCTGGCTTGGGAGATAAGCGGTCCGGCCTGGTGCGGGAGATCTTCAAAGTGTACGACCAGATGCCCAACGGGCATGAGCCTGAAGTGCAAAGCCAGAAACGAAACTTTCAAATCTGCTTCTCAGTCTCAGCTTCTTGTGGGTTGCTAGCTGTGCGTCTAGCGGCGCCAGGTGGCTGGTGTTTCTTGAGAATGTGAAGGGACTCCTCAGCCGCAAGAAGGAATGTAGGGCACTATGGAATTACGTGGTCAAGGCCTCGTGTTTTTTCTGCGCGTGTCTGTGAAGCCTTGTGTGTTTCTTCCTTTGGGCGCAGGAGTTCGAGAAGCGTGACATGGTGATGCATTGGTGCAGCGTCACCTTAGACAACTGTGGTCTGCCGGCCGGGCCCTCAAGGTCCAAACTAATAACCTTTTTACGCGCGCCTTCTTCTCCCCGTGAGGCCGGCCGCGCTCGAGTGTTCATCCTTGCTCACCAGCGTGGCAGGGTCAGTGTCTCAAACTGTCCTGCGTAAAGTGTTTGTGGTGAACTTTTGCCTTTGCCCAGGCCTGGCCACTGCGCGAGCTGCCCCTGGAGTACGAGGTGCCGCAATCTTCTGGTTGGAATGACAGGAATGCAGTGCCGATGCAGCAGTGGTTGGCCCTCACCCAGACTGATGAAGACAAACAGCGATTGAAAGCCATGGGCAATTGCGTGGTGCCCATGATGGCACGGGTAGCCATCTCAACGCTGGGTAGGATTATTAAGCTTGACCCCGGCAGCGTGTAGTGGTTGCTAGTTTTTTGTTTGAGTGCGTGGCCTTGTGATTGACAAGCCATGAACCCATTGCCCTGTTTGATTTCAAACAGACATTAATTCGGAATGATCAGCATCATGCGGCGCTGCAATGACGCCGGCGTGTCAGATATCTCAGTGGCAAGCGTTACAGTTTCCCTTTTGTTTTGGTACCCAGTGCAGCGTGCTTAGTGATTCAAGGCTGTGGAACGCAATAGTGGGGAAATAGATGAGTCAGTGAATTCGCTTTGTTCACCACATGTGTTCAATTATGGCAACGTCAACTGATCTGAACGTTAGTTGACCAGCGCGCAGCCGTCTTGTGAGCCTTGCAGCTCCCATCAAGACTCAACTGCAGCGTTGCTCACAGCAAGAGGACAGGTGCAGCATGGCAGCAGAGGGTTGAGCAAGTTGATCAGACAATCAGAAACCAAAGCTTTGCGACTGGTCTAGGAGGTTTAGTAAAGCAGGTGAGTAGTTATTATTCTTTCTTTGCATGTTTTCTCCACCAGCTATTTTTCAAATCGTTGTTGAAGCCAGGACCGTCCTGGCCAGCTTAGCGGTTGCTGCAAGCCAGCAGCGAGCTCATTCATTCCTTGGAGTAATTTATGGGTCCAGTAGCTGCCAAGAAGATTTGCTCATCTACTCTCTTGCCTGTTGCGACCCTTGGATGTTTGCAATTTGGAATCATAAAAACTCTATGCGGTCCCTCACTTTGAGGCATTGGATTGGCCGGCCTACAGCCTATGAATAGCAAGATTGTCAGGCCGGGTTTTAATTTTGGAACTCAAGGGAGCCTGCCTGGCCGACCAACTGTAAGCCTGCCAGCCATGATTTCAAGCTCATGCACAGATTCACGAGCAGATTGCAAACCTCCAACCACCAGGGTGAAACCAGCGTTGGGGTGATGTTGTTTGGTTAGTAGGCATGACTGATCCTGGTTTTTATAATACCGCATATTAATATGGGTCTCGGACTGAGACTCTCAGCGCTGCGCAGTCAATGGGGGCTGGCACTGGGCCGCAATGTCGCAGATTTTCCAATCTGTGGAAACTCTGACCGAATCAGACGAAGAGGGGTCCCAAGGTTCTGGGAGCAAGCCTACTAAGCCTGGCTCAACGGCCCAAGAGTTGTGCGCTGGTCGCAAAAGCGCCAAGCGCAAGAGACAGGAAATCAGTGAGGCGTGTCGACAACGATTGACATCGGAACCTGATCTGCGAAAGTTGCTGCTGAAGTCTTGCACGCAATGCAATCGACGGTGCTTGGAGAAATTCAAAGGCCGGGCCAAATTCGAAGAGCTCCAGCAATTCAGGCAAGAATGGACCGGGCTGCACAAACTGGACCAAGACCAGCTTGCCTTCGATCGCATTGGGCGAATCCTTGCAGAAGAGCGGGACGAGGGAGTTCCCCCGAAGTGGCAGATTTGTGGGGTCCAAGTTTGCCTAAAAGCTTGGAAGCGCTTGCACGCTTTGGGCTATTTTGTCACGATTCAGATTCATTCCGACGTTTTTTGCTTTTCGAAGAACGTTTGCATTTAAATCACACCCATCTTTTCACATTGGTAGCCTGAACCCTTTCTTCAAAAGACCAATGACCTAAGGCACCAGACGATTTGCAAGATTGCGACAGGCCGTTGAAAGCGGTTCTGTTGCGCCGCCATGCGACCTTCGCTACTTGAAGTCGGGGAGAAAAGATCTCCCGGGTGATAGTGTCCGTGGCCGTGTTGTGACATTCTTGGAACAAGTCTACACCTCTCAAGCGGAAACATTGCCTGACTTCAGAGATTCTTTGGGCGATGACCTTGTGGAGTCTCAGGGATATGAGGTCCCCCTTACCATCCAGCATCATTTTCAAGATCCGTACGCAGAAGAGATCAATGAGCCTGCTCCAGACTCAAAGCAGAAAAAATTTCGGCAACGTTTCAGGACTGTGAAGGTGAACGAGCATGCCCTTCAAACTCAAGAGGTGCGACATTTACCGCCAGGATCAATGAAGGATATATGGGAACAGTTCCGATTGTCCGGGGGGCATGATGTGAGCTTCACATCGTTCTGGCGCACTTGGCGTCAGAACTATCCGAATTTAAAGTTCCGAAGCTACAGCAGCCATGCTATTTGCAGCGAGTGCATCCATCACAAGTTACTCATCAAAGATCTTTCACATCACATCCGGGCACGAAACGCTCAGCAGCAACTATATGTGCGGCATTTGGATAATCAATACCAAGACCGAATCTCCTACTGGAGATGCCGCGCTAGCTCACGCATCAAAGCTGGGGAAGTTATTACCATCATAGATGGAATGGATCAAGCCAAATTTGCATTTCCGCGTTCAAGCATATTCAGAACGAAAAGCTTGGCAAAGCTTCAAAGGGGGCGAGCCCACGTTTGTGGGTTGATAGCCCATGGCTACCACACAATGTTCATGATCAGTCCTCCTGAGCTACCAAAGGACGCAACGACGCACATTGAGTATTTGGCCCACAGTATGTCTGTACTCAAGCAGCAGGGCGCACCGTTGCAGCAGTTGCACTACATTGCGCAATGTGATAATACCAGCAGAGAATGTAAGAATAACTTTATGCTCAAGTTTCTCAGTTTCTGCGTGGCCAATTCAATTTGCGGATCTGTGTCCCTGCGGTCGCTCCGCAGTGGACACAGCCATGAAGATATCGACCAGGAATTTGGCAATTTAGCCAAGTTTTTGGCGACTCGTGTGCACACTGCAGCAACGTTGGAAGACTTTCGTGAGGCAATTGCTCGGTGGCAGTCCCACGACATGAAAAGGCCAAATGAATCGGAACATCATGCCATACTGGTGAATCAGGTGCGAGATTGGTGCCTTTGGCTTTGTTTGAGTATTAAAGTGCCCATCCATCAGTCTATAGTTTTACTGTTGTGACGTAGACTGACTGGCTTTAATGTGTTAATGCGTAGCACTTTGAACCAGAGATGTGGTGTTTGGGCACCCAACCTTGCCAGTTTCAATCGTGTTTGGTAATGAAAACCTCTGCAAATAGGGATTCAGATCAGTGGCTTTTTAAGCCGCGAGAAAAGACCCAATCTTGTACTAATCCCCACCATCAGATGGACTACCACCTCTGAGGAAAGGCTTCTTGACGCCCGCCGTACCAGTCTTTGTGAAGGGGATGGGTGGTCAAGGTGCTCCTCATGTTTGGGACTTACGTGTCCGACAATCATTGAGCCCCTTGGTGAGTTGAGTTGTTGAACGCCAGGCTTCAAAACTGAGTGCGGAGTCAGAACGGTGAAATTGAAATGCCCAAGGTGAGGACATTGTGGTCACTGACGATTTTTGGCGCTTACCGCCGCATCCTCGAGACGTGATTTTGAGGATGTAGCTGCGTTGAAACCTTGCTGTCACTGTACTCCCGTGGTTTGGTGGTTAGTCGGTGGTCCTTGCGGGCTTCCTTTCAAAGCATCACCAGCCAAACCATTGGTGAGAGCAATTAGAAGTTGTCCTTCCTACTGCAACTTTTTTTATTGTTTGGTGTATCGGATTTGAGTTCCAATGGAGCAGCGTTTGTTTGCAGGACAAAGCAATGGATGGCGGACTCGGATTTTCAGACGTGCCATTTGTACCTTCCATATTCTGTGGCCTCAGTTCGACTTCCGCTCGGAGTCCCTGCAGGCCACATTTACTGGTATCGGGCGCCGCCTGAATACAAATATAGGTGATTCTGCGACTTACGACAGCTTTCCACCTGGCTTACATGGTAGATTGTCATACTGAACCGTTTTGAGTTTGTGGTTCCATTGGTTTTGGTGTCCACTGTGAGAGTTTTTGGTTCAATACTTGACAAAGGGCTTGTGCGACATGAGCTGTCCAAGGAAACTGTCACCCAGAAAATAATAAGCGTGATACACTCCAGTCCACTCCAGTCATTGTCCTGCTTTCCGCTTTTGGTTGCCTTCTTGGATTCTGCTTTTGGAGCTAGTTAGTACATTTGTTGCGGTATCTGATGGATAATGGAAGCATTACATATTTAATATTCAATAATTTCTAGCACTCAGGAATGCAGACTTTAAGGTCCCTGCAGTTTGTCGGTCAGTCATTCTTGCGCTCCCAGACAGGGATTGCCAAGCGAAATCCCATTTCGCAGAATTACATCGATCATGTGATGAAGTTTTTGCCAACTCTCCGGCAATATGACCTCCATCGTGCAGCGGACTTTCTCCACGCGTGGGTCAATGGCACTCTCGAATTGCAACCATTGCTTGACGTGTCCGCGACGCTAGGTTGTAAGCAGCCAGGGTGATGTAACTTTTGATGTCAGGTCTTATAGTTCATTTGCTCTCGGCTTGGGCTTTAACAACGGACCCCCCCCAAGTCTGGGAAGGTTGGGCCTATTTACCAAGTTTCGCGCCTTCTTTCTGGCACTTGGTGGGGTCTGTTGGTTGGGCCGGCGGAGGGAAGAAAATTGGCAGGGATTCATCAAGTCGGGAATGAAATCACAACCCCTGAGTCGGTGGGGAAAAAAGGAGCATTTAAAGGGGACATATGGGAGGACATGTTTTTCATTGCCGATGCACAATGGAACACTATTTACTAATCCAGTGGTTGTCGGAGTGCTCTCAGGGAACCTTGAACTTGGCATGGTAAGTTTAAGCTGAGGTGCCTCAAGATACATGGCTATGAGCACAGGTATTTGGGCGCAAAGCGCCCTACTGACTTTGCGCCGAAGCCAAACCAGTTGAAGTCCCCTGACTGCGTGGCAAACCTCCCAAACATGGTTTTATGTCGTTTCTGTCATAGATGTATGTCCTTTCAACCAAGAAAGGCCAAGAGACCCTAAAAGGCAATTTTTGGGCGCGACCTTTTTAACATGGTTTAGAAGCTTTTTAGACATAAGAAAGGTCGCGTCCAAAAATTGCTTTGTAGGGTCTGTTGGCTCATGTTGGAACTTCTCGTTGTCAGTAGGGATGTGGCTCGTTGCTGTGGCAATGACTGCTGCAGGTTGATGAAGCCAGGGAAATCTGATCGTGAGGTGGGCACAGCTTACGCCAAATCATCTCGGAAGGCTATTGCTTTGGAAGCAGCTTGCTTAGCCTGGAGCCAGGGCGTGCCCTGGGCTGATGCCATGGAGATTTGCTCTAAATCTGTAAAAAAGGCTTCAGCCAAGCTGGTTCGAAGCTGACAAGTTCTCACTTGTATTCGACGTCAAGTGTCAACTTCGTAAAACACATTTCATGTTGCTCCGCTAACCTTTCTCGTGCAATTGGCAAGAACTGTGGTGTTGTCAGCTTCGGAAGTATGGGCATGGTTCCGGTTGAGTATGAGCCGCGGCGGAAAGCATGTAATGTTGAAACCGCTCCCATGCTGAAAGCATGTCGTTGAGCTCCCGAAAAAAAAGGTCCACTAGGTTTCATTTCTGTGTGAGGCTGAGGTCAAATAACTTGTCTGTATAGATCGCTGCCAGTCTGGACGTAGTTAGACTTCAGAGTGTTGACTCTGCTAGTGCCGTTGAGTTAATGCCATGAGATTCTTACAAAGCACACTTGAAAGAGACATCTTTTCAACACCGATGGTATATTTCATCGTGATCCTAAACCCTTTTCGTTTGAAAATTTGGGTGCGGCATGGTGATTTAGGGGGCAACACGTGGGAGTGAGCAACAAATCCAACACTCATTGCAGCCTACTTGGAGTGATGCCAGAGTGTTGAATCCGAGGTCGGATTCAACACTGTGACCTCGGTGGGGAACACATGACGCAACCAAGTGGGTTTTTTGGGGTGTGTTGCTGGGGACCTGGGCCAGGTCAAAGTGTTGAATCCGACCTTGGATTCAACACTTCTGGTGGTGTGTGAGGGAGAGGCCCACAGTGTCGGATTTCAGCTGCTAGTCTCAGAGTGTCTGTGTTTGCGTGACCACCAAAGTGTTGGATGTGACATCACCCTGAACCATAGCCTTAGTCTGTGTTTCGCAAGGGATCCGCTGGTAAGTAATGTTCACTGCATTCCTTTGTAACACCACGTTGCAGGTTGGCGATGGGTTGCCTGCTGTGATGATTGCCTGGCGCTTGATGGATGCCAGTGGAAAACGGATATTTTGCTCATTCTCTTCTCTAGTTTTTGAGGCTGAAATTAGGTGCATGTAACACCCAATGCAAAATTGTGCCATTGATGTTTTCGGTTGCTCAAACCCTTCTCCTACTGGTTCTCGCCAGTGATTTGGTAGATTTAGTAGATGCATCGCGCCTGCCTGTCATACTGTGCAGCTTCAATGGAGGGACCAGAGCAGGGTGCTGACGCACAAACAGAAGCTCTCACCCTGGCGGGTTTCTACCGCAAAAACCCCGACCATGCAGAGAATGTGAGGGAAACAGCTGTGAAGGTCCTGAACATCTTTGGAATTCAGGCGCACTTCGTCCCAGTGCAAAACCTCGCCATTCAGCTGCTGCAAGGCAGAATCCTATCCAGAGACCCCTCTAAGTGGGGGGATGTGCAGGCTATGGGCCTGCAAGACTTGGGCGTTCGCGAGCCGTGTTATGACACCTCCCAGGGTCTGGACACTTTGAAACAGATTTCCATCCAACAACAAGAACTTTTGCAGCTTGAGTGCGGGATGTGTCGCGCGACTCTGGGTGACTGGATGTGGAACGGGAACATGGGTGAGAACTTGTACAAGTGCGTTTTCCAAGCTGAAAAGGTGTTTGCGGAGGTTCATCGCTATGAGCGATAGGCTAGCTTGCAAGCTAGCCAGAATCTTAGGTGGGTGTTTCTGCCCACCGACGGCTTCTAGGAGCGCAGTCATGGAAGTAGAAAAGCGACGACAATTCACCAGCCGGCTGTTATGTCTTCAAACAGTTGATGTACACTTTGAGCGCGTGGGTCATAGTTGTGTGTACCTCTCCGCAGCTGTTTGTCTCAATCAAGTGTCCTTGTCTTGAGATGTTGCCCAAAACACTGCCTAGAAAGCGAAAGTCTGGAAGTGGAGGGGGGGGGCCCTCCAAGGACCTAAGGACTTATTGTCGCCCGGAACATGTCTCCAAGATCATGTCTTGGTGCCCGACTTATTTTGTGACGGTGCGAGTGAGTCAGTCAGCCCAACTCAAGCAGCGACTGATCAAACTAAAGTCAGGTTTCGGGACAACGTTATTCCGGCGGGTGGGCCGGATCGGTTTCTCATGAAGAAATATACGTCCCAGGACTCTGTTTGCTGAGTGTTTATTTCACGCATTCAAAAAGGAACTCTTCTGCTTGCCAACAATTTCAGACAGGTCGCCTGGTTCCAAATTCATTGACAGGACGAGTTGATGGGCTTCGCAAAATGGATCGACGGAACTTTTCCTCCTGACCCAAGGCAAGAGATGGGCTTAGTATAGGAGTCTAGATTTCTTGCAAGGTGCGGGTTGCAAGCCTTGCAGGATTCATTATTGCGGTGAACTACTGGGTGGGGAATTTTGCGTCAGACCATGGAACCTCTCTTTCAGGACAGAGCGCCGTTCACTAGTGTTTGTGGGCCTTTTTTGACATGGCCACAGGACGGACTTCGGTATCGCTGGCTATGCCGAGCCAGAAGAAGCGTTGAATCTGGTAGAGCTTATCCTCATGGAGGGGTGGTTTGCTCAGATCAGGACATTTTCGCCAGTGTCGTCTCCCTTTTTGCAGCTTGCGATTGTGCCGCCTAGGTTTAGGACCAACAGTGCGTTGCCGGGGACTGAACGGCTAGCAGTGTGCAAGCCGGACTGTGAATTCTTGGACGACCCGTATGATTGCTTGCCGCTCTTGGATGGTGCTGCGCTCGAATGTTTGTTTCTGTTTGCGAAAACCCTGATGACAAGATTGACTGTAGTTGCGAGGAACTAATGGAGTCTTTTATAGTGTTTTGCTGCTGCAATTTTTCATGGTGTGCGCTGAGTAGGTTTTTTCAAGACGCAACCCTGAACCATGTGGCAAAGCCTTTGACGTTCTGTCAGGTGATCTACTGGGCCCTTTCAGTCTGGCCTACATCAAGGGCTGGCGGCGATCCATTTGTTTTCTCATTTGCTTGGAGGCAGTGAGGTGCTTGAGTGTAAGTTTGGATGATCTGACAACAAGCTTCAAGGCTGGGCCAATGAATCCCACGAAAAATCAGATGGTGTTCATGTTTGTTGAACGCAGCCATTTTTGTGCATACGTGTTGCCGCGTGGCAGGACTCTGCGTCCACAGTTTATGTGTCCGCTTTGCGCTTCTCCAGCGCAAAGGAAAAGGTCTTCACCAACCGAGGACGGACGGCGTTAGTTTAACAGAGCCCGTCGCAAAGAATGTGGAAACTATTCATGTCTACGCAACCTGGCGAGCGCAGGAATCACAATGGGGAGCACGAGCACACGCAAGGCACCGAACTGCTTCAACTTCCTGCGCCAACTGGAGATCATCGAGCGATCTGGATCCCAGCCGGACTTTGTGGTTGCTTGGCCCAAAGACATTCTGGTCCCATCTTCGACGCGTCCCACTTTTTGATTAGACGGGTGTTTTTGGGATGAATTCAGGTATCAGTATCAGAAGTTCTCGCTACTGGTTCGTGCTTATGAAGTCACTGTCAGTCGAGGTGGAGGCCACTGTAAGGTGCTGCTAGTTGTAGTTACTAGTTACTCCCACCCAATGAGCAAGCTCTTGAGCTGCCCCAGGAGTGGCGCAACGCTTCACTCATAATGCGAGCGTTCTCGATTGGAGAGAAGGAGGCCCTTGCTGTCTCCAACTTGCAGGAGCGAATCTCCCCGGAGGTTACCGCCGCGCTGCGAGCTGAAGTGCGGCCGCGTGGAATGAGACGCTGGCTCTCCCATGAGATCCTGGCGAAGAACTTGTTCAACCGGGGCTTCAGCTCTGGTACAGGCTGCTGGGACGCCTGGAACGAGCAATTGACAAATGGGTCAGATGATGCGCTGGACCCTTGGCCCCACTGTCAGACAACAATTTTTCATCATTTGTCTACCTTTGTTCAGAGCAACAGTAACATCCCTGTTATGTGTTTGGATGGCCCGCACTCTTCTTTTTTCCAAGGTCAAACTATTCTTGCAACGTCTTACAGGCGACTGGGACAGGCAGCCAGTGGAACTGCGGAAAACGTGGAGTTTGAAAGACGCGCAATCCTTGCATGGAGCGTGCGGCTTCTTCTTGCACGTGATGGGAGAACTGGAGAGTCAGGTTGCAAGGAGTGATTTTGATGATTGCAAGGATGCCATCCTCTCGCAATTTATGACTGGATTCAGTGACCCGGAGATTGATCACTTGCTGCAAACCACAGTGCCGCCAGTGGAGCTCCGCGACATTTCTTTCTTGAAGCGCCCTGTTTGTTTCAGTCTGAGCTTTTATGTGTGTCAGGTGTTTGTCGTGATTCAGAATAGATACCGATGGCTTTGTGCGCTCTGGATTCAAGCCAGGAATGTTGTTGTGGCATTCGAAGCGCGGACGCAAAAGGAGGTAGAAGCCAAGGAGGCTGAGGCAGCGGCCCGCGTTGCGGAGGCCACATTGGAGCACTTGAAGGTGAAGCTGAACAAGGACCTGGAGGTGCTACGTGCGCGCGTTTCAACCCCAGAGCACGAAGCGCACGAAGCGTTGAAGGACCAGGCTTACTTGAGGGACAGGCAGCAGAAACTCAGTCCTGACCAATCTTAAGTTTTGCTTTTTGTTGGTCATTGATTGGTGTTCTGTTGTTGCGGCCTTCTGTGTGTCAATGGTTTGTTGTGGATGTGTTGGCCAGGAACGGGCAACAGTGGACCCGCGATTGGTTGGAAACTCATTGCAAGCTGATCCCAGTCGACCAGAGCATGAATTCTGCAATGCCCGAAATTGGACGTTTCCTTAGCAGGGTGTCTGGCGCTTCTGATGGCCGAACGTTCCTCGGCAGTCTTCGTGTGATTCATTGCGCGCGTTCGCCTGTCAACCTGCCATCCAAAAAACTGCCAGAGTTTCTATAAACCATTTTGCAACCAAACAAAAATGAGGCTGGTTTTGACTGGTTGACTGCACGGTATGGCCATCAAACGCCACATACTTGCAGAGCGCTCTCCAAGTTGTCAAGAGCATTGTCAACCTCGGTCCTACCAATGCTGGCTTTGCTCTTCTGCCTTTGAGCCACCAAGCTATCAATTGGCAAGCGTTGCTGAAGCACCGTCGTTCGCTGGAGGATGGGCTGGCCAGCGGTGGGCTGGACATTTTGACTAACACCTCGGTCACGTACAGCAAGCCAAACTCTGCAGGGAACGACAAACGCAAGCTTGCGCAGCAAGCCCTTTTCCTCACCACAGCCAACACGCAGAGCGAGAATGTTTGGACCGCTTCCAGCGCATGGGTTTCCCAGACACTGGGGCCTGTGCCCTTGATCAAGATTTCGGACATGATCGGCTATGACAGCGACGTTCGCCCAACCCCTGGAGCTCGAACCGAACAGATGCCTGCCACGCACAAACAAATAATATATCTTTCTCTCTGTATATATACAATTTTCATAGTTGTATGTTTTTATTTTTAGTTGTTGGACGACGTGGTCATTTCCAGTTTTTGGGAATTGAATTCTTCTTTTATTGGGTGTTTCTGAGGAAGGGTGTGCCAGCTTTCAATGAGATCCTGAAGCAGATTCTGCAAGATGTAGATGTGCTGGAGCATGACAGGGTTGTGGTCCTGGATGTGGTGCCAAACAAGTCACGTGGTGGCAGTCAATGGCACAGTTTATGGCAGCAGTTAATTTGCTAGGTGGGTGATTCACGGTTTGGCGGTGTAACTGTAATTGGGTTTTGAAGCGCCCATCATATTGATTGTGAGGTATTGTGAAATGGGGCGGGCTGTGGTGCAGCGCCTTCTTGTCGACAAGGTCCGAAAGCCTGTCGTGAAGTATTGTGGGCTGCTGTTTGACAAGGATGGCCAAGATGCAACTACTATGATTGAGCAACAGGTCTATGACCTTTGGGATTCAAGTGGTGACGCTCCGCCGAAACGAAGGGAGCATGAGGAATTGCCTGCCCCTTCCTTGGATGTTCTGTCTTGGTCGAACGGAGTACGCCGATTCCCGGACAGCTTGTTTGACAGGTTTGTGGCTGGCACAGCGCAGTACCAAGAGCTGAAAGCGTTCAAAGACGAGGTTGTGGCCCTCTATCCTGATGCAGCCAGCACTTCAGCTGTCGCTGGAAGCGGACCGCTTGCTGTTCCACGAGCGGGGGGGCGACCGGACTATTCCATTGAAGGGGGGATGCGTCCTGTTGATTTCACCCGAGATGTTGACCCTCCAATCATCCGCGCGTCTGATTTCCATCATACAAGGCCCGGAATTGTGTTTTGTAGGTGTGTGGGGCTGTGTCTTGTTGTGCAATAAGATAGATATATATATATATGCTTATATATTTCTTGTAGATTCCTTTTGCTTTCCTCCTTGAGATTGGTGCCAGGTTGGCGTGGGTTGAAGGCTCCAAAGGGCGCCCGTCGTTGTTCGTGACAACGTCTATGGACCTGTTCATTGGAAACCCATCGGAGGGAGACAATCTGACCTTGAGTGGTTGCGAATTGTGTGGCTTCAACGTTGGTTCTTTCGAGGAGCGGATTGTTGCTGGAACTGGCGAGGCAGAAACCAACTGTTTGCCGTGGCGTTTGGCAGATGATCTTTCGCTGGTCATCAGCACCGAGCGGAAGCTCTTGAGCTTGGCCGACTTCATTCACCAGCAAGTGACCATACATGGCCTTGCAGACTTTGAGCTTCGTGATCACATGCTTTCTGCAAAGCAGCTTCCGCCTGTCATTCGATTCGGTTTATGACGCACACTGCACAAATAGAGATACTGTGTTCCCAAGTAGTATTGCCAATAGAAACTACCGGACTTTTCGATTGCAACTTGTTTTGTGGCAAGACCTGAGGTTGAAGAAGGTGCGCAACCCATTACTGTACCGTATCGGTATGTTGTCTCGCCCACTCCCAGCGGCAAGACCAATTGTTTCAAACCGGCAGCTCTATCCGACGATGCAGTCTTGAGGCGTTGGGGCTCTTAGAAATGAAGTGTTGGCAGACTGCTGCGGCATTTGCATTGAATATTTTTTGTATTTTGACAAACAGCAGGCATGCCAATTTCGGCGCCGTGTACTGCGGAAAGTTCAACAAGTTGCCCCGCAACAAGATCGCCAACGTAGTTTGGGAGGCACGTGGCTTCCAACTTTGTTCACTGGATGTTTTGATTCAAGCTAGCCCTGCTGGCGGCCAGGTCCAAACCCAGACTGGGACCGGACAAGCAAAATTCCTGGCGACGAAGCCGAAGCTGTTCTTGACCGCGACTGTTGTCATTCCTCCCCAGTCCTGGGTCAAGTTATCTTGACATTTTGTAGGCTGGTGATTTTTCAATCTTGAGCCTGTGGCTTGCCACGACCGCCCTTCCTCCTGCAAATGCTTTTGTTGTCGGCTTCATTCACATTGGTTCAATTTTTATGGGAAAAGTAGGAGGCGGTCCTAGAAGCAAGCCAAATTGAGATTTGACACGGCGTTCGTGCTGTGTTGCGAATGAGCTGGCAGTTCTATGTCCTTAGAGAGTGGCAGCAAACACACGTGTCAGGATGATTGCGCCATAGGTGCCGTACTCTAACTATTTCCACCCCTAACTTTAAAAAAAGGTGTTTGTTTTTTGACTTGAATGGGCCAGCGCCGGGTTCTCATCATTTTCTCGTCTATAGTTCGATGCAACGCATGTTGTTCATAACCATCAGGCTCAACAAGAGCGCAGCAGTCCAACTAGCTTGCTATTAGGTCAGACAGAACGCATATGGGAATTTTACCACCTGTAGCTGACCTGACGGCGTCAGAGGAGGAGGCGCCGTGGCATCGGTTCTTTCTTGCTTAGGGGCTGCTTGTCGGTGTTCGGGGATGGTGTTGATGTGATATTTTATATTTTAAATTTGGATTGACGGGGCGACAGGTGGCTCCACAGCCGAAGAGCATGGTGGTCGAGGAGCGTGAGGAGCCCGAGGAAGCTGAGGTCGCCAAAAAGGTCATGAAAAGACCTTCAGCTTTACGTAACCCGTTGAAGAGGCCAGCCCATGAGAGTGAGGCCACCGCCCCTGAACCAGGGACTGAGTCTGGAACCGCTGAGCCAGAAGCTCCTCAGCCAAAGGTCAGCCCAAAGGCGAAGGCGAAAGGACAGGCGAAAGGAAAGGCGAAAGGAAAGGCGAAAGGAAAGGCGAAGGCAGGTGCAAAAGCGAAGGCGAAAGGAAAGGCTAAAGGGAAGGAGGCAGCCAAGTCGACGGCGTCAGGGGGTGAAGATGCGACCATTGGTATCGTAGAGGCACCTAATGCCAAGCCCAAAGCCAAGCCGAAGCGGAAGGCAAAGGCCGCTGAAGGCTAGGTTCGCTTGTAGGCCCAAACAATGATCTACAACGAACAGTGAAAACAGTTTTGTTTTCAGTTCACTTTTTGGCACAGGTGTCGGCGTCGATGATGCTGACAGAAGGATCAGCAAGGTCTATTATTACAAGAAATCTGGTGTGTTCGGTGTGAAGGTGAATGGCTGGGAGATGATCAAGGCCAGTCGGCTTGTTTAATTTTCTTGCCTGGGACCTTACCGCATTCGGCAGCTGAGCAATTTGGAATTTAGTTTCTTTTGCAGGCGGGAGGAAAGCACTATGACTGGCACAAGTCGAAAGAGATTTGTGTTTGGGCCTTGCTTGCTCTTGTGTGTTTTTTTGATAAGCTGTTTCCTTTGCAGGAAATTGGCCACGCTCACTTGGTGAGGGGAGACAAGTGCGTAGATGTGCAGAACATCGTCGTTCCCACCTAAGTGCCGGCTCTTTTCATTTGTTCTAACCTGTGGCGTCTTATGTTTTGCAGATATGAACAATGTTCTGAGGCGAAACTGAAGAGCACACTTGAGTACAGCGCAGGAAACCGAAGCGTGGGTTTGGGCAGTATTAATTTAACTGAAGCAGTTTTTCCGGTCAATTTGTGTACGTGGTCATTGTCAGCATTGTGTTGTGCTGCGTCGCCTAAAAACCTAGAGGAGCTGGACTTGGCTATGACCCGGAGGATGCTGGCGCTGGTCCTGAAGTTGTAGAGCCGACAGAATTGCCTGAAGTAGTACCTGTCGAGACAGAACCTATGGAGCTCCCGCTGGAGGTTGATTTCAATGGAGACGACCAGCAGGAATTTGAGGAGGAGGAAGCCAAGGAGCATGACCCGACTGTCCTGGATGTAGATTAACCGGTGGCTGACCAGAAGCTCTGCGCTGAAAATGGACCCCTATTTCCGCATTCTTTGCTTTGGATATGTCTCTGTGTATCGAGTTTGGGTGGCATACTTGAAAGTCTTTGATGTTACGCGTGTCAGATCTCTAGCGGTTCAGTTGGAGGCAGCTCACAGACCTCACTTCCCCATTGATCGTTAAACATGCGCGTTCATAAGGACCAAAGAATGTACCATTGAAGTCCTCATATTTTGGGAAATCAACCGACTACTCGTAGCTGCGCAACTGCGGCCGGCAGCGTTGATGGTGGTGAACGCAACGGAGGCTGGTCAAGATCTCCTTGTTGTATGTTTTGGTTGGCCTTGAAGCGTTGAACTTGGCTCATCAAGGCCCATTGAACAGTACAATGTATGCCTGGTTTGGGTGGGCCCGCCGCCCAGAGTGTGTGCGTTGCCCTTCCACGTGGTCCTTTGCAGTGATGAGTAGTTCGAAATTCTGCTCTGTGGCCGTTTTTGGCCAGAGTTCCAGAGCTGAATGCGGCCAAGGAACCATCTCCACGGTGGGTCAGTCAGGCCAAGACAGGGGTGCAAGACTATACAGCGTTGTTGATGCTTTCAAGCAAAAGTTTTTGGGCCAGGAGTGTCGACTATGACGCTGAATCCTACGTGGAGGACTGCTTTGAACTTGGCTGACCAGCCGTCTGTGGCAGCCAGCTTCTGGAGTCTGGCAGGAGAACACATGGTGAGCGCTAGCGTTGAGTGCACCCATCCTTGCTGATTGTAGATCGAAGCTGGAAGTGGCTTTGTGTTCAAGGCTGAACTGAAGTTGAGATAGCAAGTCTTGAGCGCTCATTGTGGACGGTGGTTGCAAAAAAAATAGTCGCTCCTATATGGTGAAACACTATTAAAAAAATCACGGGTTGCTCAAGGCCACTTCCAGTCTGCCAGCCCTGCGTTTACGATGGATCACGGCACTGCGCCAACATCATGTGTTTCTACTGGCAGTTCTGAACACTATGAAGTTTTGTACATCAATTTTGTTTAGATACCTTTGGTGTGCACTCTTGTTGTGCACTTTCATTGGACCCTGCTGGGTCTCAAACACTTACTTGAGTAGGGACTCTGACACTCCTGGCGGTTGTTTTTGTGTGACATTCTGGTAAGACATCGCTTTCAAGAGACCACTTGCTGCAGCGGCGCCAGTGCCCAAGCTAAGCTCCCAATTGCACGTGGCCACACATCTGGCAGCGGCGCCCTGCAGCAGCACCAGCGCGGCAAGCTCTCAAGCGCACGCGGCCACACATTTGGCAGCAGCACCAGCACTCATTGTAAGAAGTCTCACACATGACACTCTGAGTGGCGCGGTGCAAGCGCACTTCTGGGCACAGAGCCTTCAAGACACCCAATTGTTTACAGACACCCATTGCAAAGCAAATTCCTTAACATCCTTCTGACCAATGTCATGGCTGGCCTTCCCTGCCTCCCGAAGAAACTGGCGCAGCCGCTGCGGAGCATCCAGGTGGGTGAGATCGTTGAGCTTTGCCTCAAGTTTGACGTGAACAAGCTCACCCCGCCGGCCTTTGCTCGCATTGTTGAGGTCTATTCCATTGCCAAGGCCAAGCACTTGGCGCAGGAGATTTGGGAGGCCAAGCACTTGCCCAAAGGGGCGCGCTCCATGGAGAAGCTGACGACCCTCCCGGAGGTGGAGGACAAGCTGCCCTACATGTGCGCCAGCTGCTTCACGAGCTGGATCTTGCCGTCCGCCAACGGTGGATTGTGTGGAGTCGATTGCGGGCTCGGACTACAAGAAGAAGCAGTTCAAGGACAAGAACAGTCATGTCTTCTGGGGCCGCCTGGAGTGTGGCCTGATTTTGAGCTCGATTTCCCCCTGGGATGTGGTCACCAAGGAGAGTGGAGTCACCCGGGGCGGCTATGTGTGCAAGCACTGCAAGGGCTTCTGGAAATCCAAGAGGGGCTCCAGCCGCTTTGTCCAGATCCAGGGCCGCCACAAGGGCAAGCGGGTGTCCCTCCAGCTGATCCTGGATGAGCCCACATCGAGCCCCAGGCTCCCCTCCGAGACGAGTGTTTGGACATTGACCCCAACACGGTCAGTCGGCTTCGCTTCAGCCGGGTCAACGGCATGCATGGAGCACATTTCGGACCTCCTCTGGGGCATCATCTTTTCGAACCCGGAGGCAGATGGACTGAAGCAGATCCATGACCTGGCCGCAAAGCGCCTCCAGGGCAGCCACCGCTGAGTGAGTGGAAGTGCTTCCACATGTGCAGTGGCATTTTTGGCACTGTCTTTTTGCATCCCCTAATGTTGGCCGGGCCAGGTGCTTCTTGCCCTGATATGCTTGGTGGACAGAAGGGGTTGCCGCAGACGGCCACGACCACGGGTACCCGACCGGTACCTGCCATCTTCGGTATGAAAAAGGATGAAAAAGGCGTGATTGACTTTCTTGCATTACATGTTCGAAGGTTTCCGAGGCCTTACTGGGGATCTCTTGAGGCCCTGCTGACACCTTTTTCCTGAGACCTTTGCATGACGGGTTTGTTGAGTCGAGTGTTGGTGCCGGGTCCAGTTGCTTAGTCGTCGAGGGCGTGGATCGACGAGGCGCCTAGACATCCCTGGGCTGTTCGATCGTTGGGGAGGTGTGGCAGGTGGTGGCGCCTCCGTTCTCAGATGCCGCTGTGCCAGACACCGCCGTAGAGTGGACCGTACCACTCGCAGTCGCCCGAGTGGTAGGGAAAGCCTCTGGTACCGGCTTTTTACTTTGAGACGGGACGGACTTGACTTCTTGCTGTTTGTGGTGTGGGACTTAGGACCTTATTATGCTCGTTCCGCAGCCATTTGGGGGTACTTTGTGCTGGCGTGCACCTGCCGGCAGTCGGACTTAGCCTCCGGTGTGGACGGCTCCTTAGCCTTGCGCCATGGAGCTTCAGCACTATGCCCTGAAGCCCCCCTACACACAGTCCCCTCCCACGTGCAGGACACCCTCAGACACAATGGCCTCTCGCCCGTCCAGGCAGACGGGGAATGTCTGACCGCCCTAATCACGGCGGCTCACTACGGGCCATCCGAGGAGGCGGAATTGCCCATGACTGTTTGAACCCTTTCTACCTACAATGACCAAGAACGACGGTGGGCCGCAGCGGACCGGGTCAACTGGCTTCGCACCCCAATCGAGCCCCTTCCGGCGCTGAAAGCCTTGGAGAAGTGGCGGCACTGGAAACCCGGTCGCATCCGGGACATGGAACCATCCACCCAGCGACGACTGGAGAGTGACCTCCGGCTCCACTGGGCGAGGAGGCTCATTGCCCACATGGCACCCTATGCCAATGAGATCCCCCACCTCCAGTCAATACAGGGGCCAGACCTCTTCCAGGAATACATGGACCTCTTGGGTGACACACGCTTCCGCACCCTACGTATTCACTGCCTATAGGCCTTGAGGAACTTATCCGGATGGGTTTCAACCAGATTTGCTGGGATGAGGCGGCGGTGCGCGCCCTCCTCAACAAGCTGCGCGACACGGAGGCTACCCCACACAAGATCCAGCGCATCTGGGATACCCTTCTGCTGGATGTTGCCTTCTTTGGTAGGCTCCAGGAGAAACGCAAAGCACTGCAGGACCAGCTGCCGCCTACGGTGTCAAAGCCTCAGCGGAAGGCCATGGTTCCCTCAAAGGAAGTGATTTGGGCGCTGGAGTGCGGTGCGGTGGGGATTCCCCCCCCAGGTGCTCCAAGCCCTGATAAGGGGGAACCCCCCTGCTGGACCAGTTCATCCTGGGAGTGGTCCGCTTCCAGGTTGCGCGCAGTGCAAGGTTCAACGACCTCCAACATACCTCGACTAGTAGCCTGCAGATCAGTTCCTCCACCATTGAACTCAGTGCATGGCAGACCAAGACAGTGTCCGCCTTCAAGATGAAGAAGTCCCCGGTCCCTCTCATTGCGCCCAAGTATTCCTTCACGGGCCACGACTGGTGGACCCCACTCACCATCACCTGGCGCAAGACGCACGCACTTGAGGCCTTTGTGGACTCGGACTACCTGATCCCCACGCTGAGCAAGGATGGCCTGGGCCTCATTCCTCGTCCCTCCTCACCGGACAGGGCGCTTCGATGCCTCAAGGCAGCGCTGGGACGACGAGGCCTACGAGGCCCACAGGTGGAGAACCTCTCTTGGCACTCCTTCCAGGTTTTCATCCCTGATTGCGCCTTTCAATTGCACATCCCTCGCGACCAGCGCCAGTACCTGGGCAACTGGACCACCGAATCCACAGCGGACATCTACACCCGGGAGAAGCGCAACGTGGTCACCCGGGTTTGGGAAGAGGCGGCGTCGAAACTTACCTCCTTGAATCTTGGAGGGGCCCGGATGGTCCGGGAAGATCTGAACCACCCGGACTGGGCGGACCCGGGGTGGTGACCATCGACGAAGAGGGGCCTGGACAACCCGGTAAGCGGAGAAGCGGGCCCCCACGACTCGCCGCCGGAACGGCCACTGACGCCCACCCCGGAGAGCACGGCCAGCTGGGAGATGGTGGATGCGGAGAAGATCCCAGCTGACTCTGTCGCTGATGCCTCCGGCCCCCTGCGGGTGATTGCCACCACGCTCAGGAAGAAGGGCGCCTACCTCGGCAAGACCATTGGGTGCGGCTGGTCTCCCAACCTGGCCCGAGTGAATGAGCTCACATCGGATGAGTACATCGCGAACATGCCCACCTATGCTGCGAACGGTGCTTCAAGCACCACACCTTCCGGGCAGACTGGCAGACACCGTGGGCCCCAAATGCGCCTCTGCCTATACTGAGGCCTCACATCCAAAGACGCACGGAGGAATGTACCACAGCGCCCACTGTCATGGACTGCGTCCACTGCCTGCATTGGCTATGTGTTTTGTGTGGGACCTGTCCTCCCAGACGGGCAGGTGCCTCGGGCCCTGATACCCCAAAGGGAGGACAGGGGCAATGGACATGGCCAGAGCGGCCACGGAATGGCACATCCTCAAGGCAGATGTCAGCAAGGCACACAGACGTGTCAAGATCCACTCTCGGGACTGGCGATTCCAAGTGGCCCAAATTGGTGATGAACGGTGGGCCAACAAGGTGGGCGCCTAGGGTGTGGCAAGCGCCCAACTCTACTGGGGACGAATGGCAGCCCTCCTCCTTAGGATCATCTATGCAGTGTTTCCTGAAATTGACCGGGGCTTCGTCTTTGTGGACGACTTTGCCTGGCTGCTTCGAGGCCACTTAGCTGACCTACACTCCACCGCTCTACTGGTGGTGCTACTCTCATTGGGCACCCCCTTGAGCTGGAAGAAGACGGCCCTTGCACACACGAATACGTGGCTTGGATTCATCATCGATCCATCAGGACCCATTGTCCAGACGGCGAAGGACAAACATGCCCCTGGTAATGCAGCTACTGGACCGGCTGGCAGCGGGTGAGGTCTTCACCCTAAAGGACCTTGAGAAGGGCAGGGGTCGACTGCAATGGGCAACGAGTGCCTGCCCCCCTGACCAAGCCACTGCTCCAACCGCTCTGGCAATGGAAAGGCGCGGTGAAGTCCTCTGGCAAGCCAAACCACCTGATCCGCACCTTTGCCAAGACGGTACGACTTCTCTTCCATGAGCCCTATACTCAATCCACTCCTTTCGCACCCTGGTCGCCCTGGCACGGGGCGAGTGATGCGAGTGCCTCCACCCAAAAGGAATACTATATCGGAGGCTGGCTCTCCTCTGATCCTAGTCCAGCAAAACGATCTGTTTTCTGGTTCCACCTCCGGTTGCCTCCTTCCCATGGCTTTTCAAAACCAAAGCTGCCAGTGCCATGATCCCAGCGCTTGAGTTACTGGGATCCCTCATCCTCATCGCCTTCATCCTGAAGATGGGGGAACGCAACCAGCTGGCAGTCAAGATTCCAGTGATCACGGACAACCAAGGCAACGTCTTCTGCGTGCTGAACAACAAGACGAGGCAGATGCCCACTGCGGCCATTTTGATG